ATTCATTGAGGGAAGGAGTGACAAAAATTCCAGAGTTGTAAATTTATTCACGGGCAGTATTTTTGCGATAATTTTATTTTGGACTGTGATGTTATTCGGTTCACAGGCATGGTCATCGATGTCGTTCGTCCCCCCTGTGTGAGGTGCGAATTCCACGCAGAACTGCCGCTCGTGCTCATTTTGTAGTCATAAACAAAGGTGCTGGACAGTTCTATCTGAGCTCTGGTACGAGGTAGCGTCCAATCTCAATACTTTTTTCCTGAGTTGGAAGCAACGAACAGAAGTAAAAGTCGTTGAAAATGCATTGCAATACATCAAAATGTATGCAGCAGGAGTTTGAACCAAAACTGCCATGGGATATTTTAAAAATGTCGAAGAACAAGTAATTCTACCTCAGAGCAAGGTTTGGAGCAATTTATAGTGCTTCTACAACTAAACAGTACCTTTTAAAGAATAGAACGATAGGCAATCGGCTTTTGTTTTAAGAATTAGAAAACGTTGAATTTACTTGTCACGAAAATTCAAACTGGTGGCTCCTTCTACCCGATAGTAATTTATTTTTGAAATTCCAAAACAATTTCACAGCTGAATTTTGAGCGACTTTTAGTTTCGGACTTCTGCTCCAACGATTTTTCTGAAATTCCTCTGGCATATTTATTATATCAATTAAAGCCGATACCAGAAATTTCAGTAAAAAATATCAGCAAAATTTTTTACTAGACGCGATTTTCTTTGAACAGTAGGGTCCTTTTAAGCGCTAATTTCTCGAGAAATATTTACCATCAATGAAATCGGAATATTTCGTGTTATTGCCGAATGATATCTGTTGTTCTTTGCAAAGTTTCGCAGCCATCGCGTTAATAACCAAAAAGTTATGACGGAAAATTTGTCACAGCTAAATGCTCTTGTATTAATTACGGAGCCACCTTAAAATTGGGTATTACATTAATATCTTGGGAAAGCAAATGAACTTCCGATACCCAAATCTTATAAAAATGATATAAAACCTTCCTTGCTGTTACTTAAAACCAAGTTAAAGAGCAAGTACCAGTTATAATTATTTCTAACCAAACGGAAATAAGCTCTTTTAAAATTAATGAAAACAAGTAGAAATCACTGCTGGCTGTCTTTTCTTTTTACCAATAATTAGGTTTTGAAACTGTAAATAGGTATTATAGTACACATTTTGTATACATATATATGGATTCCCTGTTTCTTTCGTAATGAAGTTTGCTAAGTTTTTTTTTTAAACGTTTTTATTAAGGCCATTGGTTCTAGGTAGCTCTGGGTGTGGAGTAATGAGTGACAAGATTTCAAGGAAAGAGAGAGAGAATTATAATTATTGCCCTTTTTTTCTTTAAATTACAATTTCCATTTCAGGTCTTCCAATCTTCACAACAGTTCCACCTTCACTTGGCTCACCGGCACAAGGTACTAAATTTCAAGCAAAATGTCAAGCTGAAGGATATCCTCGCCCCGTAATAACCTGGAGTCGATCGGTACTGTTGCCTTTACCTGCTAGCAGAACTGAGGTAAATGAAGGTACACTCACCATTAAGAACTTAAGTCCTGCTGACAGTGGTTTGTACGACTGCGTAGCAACTAACATTATGGGAACAAAGAAGACAAGGATCAACGTGGCAGTGCAACGTCGTGCAGGTTTGTATTAACCGATTCTCATTAGAGGCTTGTTTATACGGTCTGTTACCGGTTTAGAGTTGATTCTCTGTGATGAGGCAGAACTATCTGTCTGCCGGGATTTGCTAAAACGTACCTCCAGGTATTTTCCCCAACATTCTCATTTGAGGCTTGTTTACTATTTTTCTTTGTTATAACACTTTCCGAACACAAATCCTCTAACAAGCTTCAGTAGACATAAAATCTTGTGTTTAGAATGCTGTTTATCAGATCTTTCTTCACCCTCTCCCCTTCGGCCCCTTCCGTCCCCTACAACGACCACCACTGCCAGCGATCATTTTCCATAACTCTGTCCGTGCGATGAAAAAAAACATATTTGAAATCAGCCGCGCGATATAAGTTGTTTTCCGCGGTCGGTTAATGTTCTAGATTTCTTTTCGGCCGCCTGGGGTATAGTTTTCCGGAAGGCATCGTTAAGCCTTATGATGGAACGAGTATCATTATGATTGGCAAATGTTTCCTTTTGCAGAACAAAAAATGATTATAGTCAGTCATGCAAATAAAGTTATTGTTGTTGTTGTCGTTGTTGTTGTTGTTGTTCTTGTGGGCTGCACGGGTGAAACACTAACCTCGGGTCGAGACTTACAGGTATTACATGTATACTGCGAGCTCTCTTGCTGTAGGCGGTGACGAGTCTCTGGCCTCAAAAAGTATGTTGTAGGGGTCAAATCTATTCGGCGAGAGAAAAACTAATGCTGATTTCTGACAGGGCCTGCAGGGACCGCGCAGCAAGTTTTCGAGTGGGGGGGCTAAAGAAGAATGCGTGAAGGAAAATTTTTTTGGGAGGGGGGGGGGGGGCATGCTTGTGGATTTCTATTCAATTTCTCTAAAGTGACGGAGAATGCGAATAACGATAAAGCTATTGATTTTTTTCCACATCTTCAGTGATCTTGCTATCGGGTCTGAAAATTCACCATCACTAAATTGAAATATCATAGATTGTTATGTTATACTACTGATATCAACCTTTAATTACTATAAATAAGCCAGAAATCCAACGATTTTGCTTGAGCTGCCTTGAACTCAAGGCTGTATAATTACTGAGCAATTATTGCACTAGGCTGAGTATCAGATCAAGGGGGTTATCCGCCAATACGAAAGCCGAGTTCAATAATTGTTTAATTATTCATTCAAAATATTTACACGGCAAAACAAAACGGTAACTGAAAATAATTTAGTGAATGATATTAAAGTTACTGTACATCATTTACTCGAAAAGTGCCAAAATTACGCTTTCTGTTTGTGTTGCGGTCGGTAAATTCGTTTGCTATGTCAATGGTGGAAAGCCTGTCCGTTCTTTCTTTGTGTATGTTTAAAACTGTCAGGTTACTAAATCGTTCCTTGTTCATTCTTGAACGGAGCCATGTTTTTAGCCTCAGGGCAGTCGAAAAGGATCTTTCACCGGCTGCACTTGTTGCTGGATTTTAATACGACAATCAGCTTACATAACGTGATAACTTCTTTTATCATTTCCCGTTCTGGTTTGGGTAGCTCTTTGATTTTTACTATGATGTCGTCAAAACAAAAATAATCACCATCCTTCAGCAGCACTTGTAAAATTTCCATCTGGGCGGTTAACACTGAAATATTAACATCATCGTTGTACAGTTTTTCCAGGAAAAAGAGGCCATTTAAAAGACGTTTACCTCTGCTAGGTTAGAGCGAAAAAATATTTTACAATTGTAACGACTAATGCTTCATTCTGCCTATTTATCTGCGCGTTTGTCTTTGCCAGTAACTCTGGTCACTTTCGAATTAACGAAATTTTGCTATTTTTCACTCTGTTACTTTTGTTAAATTATTTTTTGTTAAATTTATTTTTATTCTTGCAAAAAAGTGGGGGGGCTAAATTCCCCCCAGCCCCTCCCTCTGCGCGGTCCCTGGCCTGAGACTTGGCGGGCACTCTTGCAGCTCTGTGTCGTTAGTCTGCATCCGAGATCTTAAATAAATCGACTGTCGATTCGCTACAGGAAAGTTTACATGCGGTGATTTCTGTCGTGGAAGAAAGCGAGAGTTATAGAGAGAGGGTAATTTGATGATGGCTTTACGCTGAAATCGTACAAAACAACGGCAAAGAAATGTACAAAAGCGTGCTGCACGTGCAAAGTTGTTTTCGTCGTCGTTGTTGTTGTTTTTTGCTCATTAGAAATAATGATGCTTCGGCCGTTTTCGTTGCCGTCGCCATTTAACATTACACTATTTAATTTTTGTTTGAGTACGCTATATTTATATTTATAAAAAAACAAACGAAAAGGCAGTTATACGGAAAAAACAACTGAAAGCTATACTAACCGTTGTAAATGAGAGTTTAACCCTAAACAGCGCTTAACTCTTCGACGACTGCTGTCGTTTTCGTTCCATATGGAACGACGATGCATATCTTCCTTCCTGGACCCATTTAGCTTTCCGTTTAGGTTAATAAATTGGTAAGCAACAACGTCAGCAAAGATAGATCTTTTCTGCAATACCTCGTTTTGGATATTTGACCAATCCTGAGAGAGTTACATTTACAAAAAAAGGTAACGAGGCCAATTTCGCTGTTTACATACTACTCTTTCCTGAAAAGTTAGCCAGCCACAATTCCATGCAAAAGAAAGACGATAAAGTAGGGAACAATAAAGGAGGAAAAGAAGGGTAAAAAAGAGAGCGAGAGAGAAAGACCGAAACAGATTGGCAAAGAAAGTCCAAATTTTGGCTTTGCGCATGCATGAAAAACAAAAGAAGCTGTTTAACTACGTCAGATTAGAGCTTTAAAAGTCGGAAAATGTGCCTTTTTTCTTGCTAAACTCGTTTTTCGCAATTCTTATGCTAATTAGCCAAAAATCAGTCCAAAGAAGAGGAATTGGTGAAAAATGCGGTTTTTTTATTGCTACTTGCCGGCCGTCATAAAAGGGTTAAACCTAATCTGTAAAATGAGCGCTTAACCCTGGGTCGGCATCAGTAACATGAGCGCTTAACCTTAATCAGTGAAAGTCGACCAAGACTGCGTAATTCTGTAAATATTCCAGCAGCAAAACCTTACATACCCAAAGGAAACAATATAAGCAGAAAAAGTTTTGCAATTTCATGAAACTATTTTTTCCATGGCTGGCTGGCTCACAGATTGTACGGCCCCGACACTTACGACCTAGGTTTAAAATCGAATAAGAGTGTCCTTCACGCGGTAACATTCGGAAATAGAAACGTTCTGCAAAGGCTTTATTGCATTTAAACCGCAGGTTGATCAACTCGAGTCCCATTCACAACTCTTTTTTCCATATTTTATGGAAGTCGAGTATTATAATTATTAATCTTTTTTCTAAGGTTTTGAAGACTCCGTCGTTGTGGGAAACAACAGAAACCACTTGACTTCGTTAAGCAACTGGCTAGCACCTGTGGCTAAAGGCATTTATTCTCTCTGGAAGCGCTGTTGGCGTGCATCTGTGGACGGTTGGGCTGCAAGTACATTTCACTCACGATGTGATGGCAAGGGACCGACTGTAACAATAATAAGGGTTGGAAAATATATTTTTGGAGGATACACCAGTATTTCATGGGGTAAGTTATTGTTGTTGAGATAGGCTGATCCAGGCGTTCAGATAGTAGTGGGCGGTGCTCGGATGGTGGGGAGCGAGTTACGCAAAGGAAACGAGGAAGAGCAAAACTATCCAGCCTTTGGATGCACAGATTGAAAGGATGTTTTTTTTAACTTTTCTTAGATCTTGTTCTAGCCTCACTCCGCCACTTATCCTCTCGTATCCTCACCATTTCCTGAATTTAAAGACGATTCTTATCACTAGTGAGCTTCATTTGAAGCTAAAAAGTACTTATCCGGCCATGAATATTATTATCTTTTAGCTGGGAATTCCAGGCTGCAAGTACAGCATGCTAAATCAAGACAGTTGTGATAAACGGATTATTAAGGCTTATTTTTAGGAAGCCTTTAAAGGTACTATTTCTGTATCAAAGCTTTGTGCTTTTAAGGCCTATACATGTTAAAGGGCCATATTTAGTTTTACGAATGTGCCCTTCTCCATTCTAAATTTTCTTACTAACATTATATATGTACACGTGATTTAAACAACCTTCTACTAATTTATTGTACAATTGATGTATTATCTATAGAATGGAGTAAAAAAAATACAAATAAAATGCAAATACATTTAAGGCGATGGAGCCTGCTAAATCAACTACATGTACTTTGGTAAGAAAAACTGTGTTAAAAAGTTCAGGAGTCAGTTGAAACGAAAACTTCAAACTTGGTGGCAAATTAGTATGTACTGCGTCTGAGTGAATTTACCATTATTTTAATAGTGCGTCCGTCGGTGACTTTGTTCAGTTAAAATATAATATAGTTAAATATAAATATTTTCTCGAATGAAAAGTTTTTTGTATATCAATTAATTGAACTTCTTTCCGTTAAAATACTTGAAGGATTTGCTCTATAGCAACCGTTATTTGATTAGTGCTCTTTCTTTGTTTTGTTTTGTTTTTTTTTTCCCGCATTTTTATTGTTATTATTTTCTTAAATTTGGTTTTAAAATGTTTGTACTTGTGCTACAAATACAATAACATGTCAGACTCAAATTCGTTTTCATCTTTAGTTTTGTTTGTTGGTTTTTTTGTTTGTTTGCTTTTTGGCATTTTTTATTGTTTTTTAGTTTTTTTAAATGATGTGTACCTTTTTTAAATGTTTGTACTTGTCCTACAACTACAAAGTAAAATAAATAAAACATATCAGACTCACATTCGTTTCAAATGAGAAAATTTGTTTCCAGGTTTGTCTTTGGTCAGGTGCTTTAATTTCTTAAGTGAGTATCAGAAAAAACGACGCAAGTTACACTTGGTTCCATCTTTAATTTATCTCTGATAGATTCCAGCAGTGGGTGGCAGTACGACTCCAAAGCATTTTTGTTTTCACTGGTGAACAAACCAGGATGGGCAGCTGTTAAACTGCCTCAGACAGGGAAATATAGTTCAAGAAGAGCATATTCCATATACGGTGGCTCATCTGATGGGCCTATATTTGGAGGAGGAAATGACATTCGCATTTCCAACCACGCGACATCCAACAGAAATTCTTACAGCAACATTAGCAATACCTACAGCCCACCGAGCGGGTACAGCTACGGCAGTGCCTTCGCCCAAACATTCCTGGCAGGAACTTACAACTTCACACCAGACGAAGTGGAAACTTTTTACGAAACAAACAAGAAATAATAATTAAAAATGGGTCATATACACTTTGATATTAGTATTCCATTAGTCTCGAACATTTAAGTTAAAAGTCGCCAAAACGAACTCATCACATACTGCCCTGTATGTACCAAACGAGGACAAAAAAGATGAAATATCCCATAAGGCAGTTCAATTCAGTGGTAAAAAGTTGGTTATCTTGATTCAAATTTTCCTTTTATAACTTAAATACAAAATACATATTTAGTGATATAATGAACAGTCTCTGACAAACTTTTCTTATAGTTACCGTATTTACTTGAAATAGCACCATCCCCAAATAAGCGCCGCACCCTCTCAAACAACAAGTGTGAAGTGTATTTTTTATTTTGTGATTTATTGCCATCGCTTTACGAAAGGTTTCTAGAAAATCTGGTTAAAGAGTGAATGCATAACTGCGGCTTTTCGGGTGGTTCCACTAGGAAATTTTCCGGAGCACTCGAATTTCTTTGAAGTTAAAGGCCTGTTTGCCAGGTCAGAATGATACAAACGGTTATCCTTTAATATAAGTTTCATGCTCCTGAAGCAGTTTCTTTGTAAGTGGAACCGATTTGTGCTAAACGCAAATCCTGGGCGAAATTTACCAGTCCTGAATTTTGCTTACCAGGCCCAAACGCGGAACGACAGGTTGCCTATGTCGAAATGGTAAACAACCAGTTTCTCTAGTTTTAAGGCCCTTATTTCGAAAGTCGAAATAATAAACGGACCCGGAAAACAGCTGTTGGTAACAGTCATTTAAGATCAAGTTTTCAATAATTTTGAACATAACATAACGTCAGTTAACAAAAAAATGGACTCTCTGCCTGGATCCGCGCTTAATATATTCTTAAGATTTTAATTTGAATAAATTAAAGCTCTCGGGACTTTCGAAAATTTCGAGAAACAGGCTCCCTGATCTTTCTGTTATTCGCCGTAGAAAAGATCTTTCTTTCTCCCGCCACCGCGACCCCTTGTTCCAGATCACGCGCTTTAAATTTCGCCTGCCTTACCCTTATTACGCGTCATCCCTACTATCTGAGAGGGGAGGGTGCGGCTACACGTAGGCTAAACGGTTGGAACAGTGTCAATCACTTCCTGACCAGTTTCGCTTGATGAGTATTATCCATCGTGTTATTTGCGATTTCACACCAAAAAAAGGGCAAGCGCTTGCTACGTTTCCCTATTCCTCTCCCATTACTCTCACGTTAAGAAAATTAGAAAGAATCACAAGGAGGCGAACTGTTTCGCTTACGATCCCTTGGTCAGCGGTGACAGTTTGATCACAAACTGCGCTGTTAACTCTTCCCGGAACCGCCCGAGGAAGAGGTAAAATGACGAGAGTCATAAATACTTTAGAAAATAACCAATAGAAATTCATGATTTTACTCTTACATTTAGAAAATAAACATCGAACTACTAATGCCACGCTATACAAATAAATAAATAAATATTAAATAATTAAATAATGATTTGGAGGTAGCGCATCCACAAAGTGGTTATTCGTCTACGTAATTCCTGGTAGAATTGGAATTTGGAAATTCTGGTTTTTGAGGAGAGGGGATAGCCGGGGTACGCGGAGAAAAACCTCTCGGAGCAAGGGAGACAACCACCAACAAACTCAACCCACAGATGGCGTCGACACAGGGATCTGAACCCGGACCACATCGGTGGGAGCTCTCTCACTACTGCGCCATCAAGCCCGACCCGGGGGGGCGAGGAATGTTAGCACTTTTTTTAACACCACGCTAATGTTAAATTCCCCTGCGCTAAGTTCCAGGTGTCGGGGAGGGGGAGGGAGGGGGAGTTTAAATTGACTGATGCACAATTCCTCCTCACATACGGGCACTTTATTAGCGTTATCTACCTATACTTATTCTGCTGAGTGAGCGTCTGGGCATCGACCTACCTATTAAACCTCATCAAACACGTACACTTCAATTACACTTCAAAAACAGTTTGTAAGAACAATGTCGAGGAGTGCTTTCGATGTTCACACTGACCCTTTATTCAAAAAATTAGAAATTCTGAATCTTGAGAGTATCCACAAACTTGAAACTGAAAAATTTATCAATACAAATCCGGCTCACCTGCCCTTCCTTACACTGTTTCAATAATATGTATTTTGGTAACACGCCAGGTGCGTTCTTATGGCACTAGAAGTTCGGAGCTTTTTAATTTACCACAATGCAGGACTAATATAAGAAAGTTCTCTATCAGTTTCCAAGGTCCTAAATTCTTTAACTCTTGTAAGTTTTGAAATTCGAAACGCAACAAGTACCGCTTCCTTTTCCTGTAAGCTGAAAGCATTCCTCTTATCATATATTTTCATTTTTTTTTTCTTTACCTCTGCATTTCTTTTTCATTTTTTTCTCATGTTTTTTCCTTGCGCTTTTTTAGCCTAACTATGCTTAATATGATTATCTAATATATCTGCTTTTGATTTTTGGATGAATAATTCTGTTAATATTTTGTCGCAATCGTTTAATTGAGGGAGCCTCAGGGGCGGATCTAGGGGGAGGGTGCTGGGGGTGCGCCCCCCCCAGATGACCTGCGGTTTTCTAATGCAACTGGTATTCTGCCAAAAAAAAAACTATGTGGTTTATTGCATTGATGTTGAAGTAGGGCAAGAGAGGAGTGCACCCCCTCCTAAAAAAAATCCTGGATCCGCCCCTGAGCCTATTACTTATAAGCACGGTAGCTTCCCAGTCCTCGCCTAAATATTTAGATTTTCTTGTTTTTTGTGCATCCTTATGGCAAAACAATAAACTGAAACTGAAACAATACGTGTGGACTCCGATGCCAACAGAACGGCTGATCCTTATCTCTAGTGCATCATGAAAGATCCCGCCAAAGAGATGCTGATCACCTCTCTACAGACCTTTTAAGATATACACGTGTGAAGGAGAGTTCTTTATTTATATAAATAAGTTAAAAATGATGATGCTGACTATAACACCACACTTTTTTAACTTAAAGAGCCCGTCAGTTAATAACTAACCCCTAAATACTCATGATCATTAAACTCAACATTTGCTTTTTTTTGCAAAAGGAACGGTAACTGTTGTAATTGTTTATCAGTCGGCGTTAACTTAGCATGTTTCTATGTCGTCATCTTTCATCACCTCATAACGAGGACTTCCACAGCTCAGGCTTAAAAGGAAAAAATGGCTAGCTACGTCCCTGAACATGAGCGTTCCCGCTTTCATCGGACAGGAAAACTAAGGATGCTGCATAACTAATGTTATACAATGTGAGATTATATCAAGTAATAAAACTTAAACATGTTTGAGAAGCCAGAGTGTATAAAATATTGTTCCTACCACCTGCAATGACACGTGACGTTGTCTTCAATATTGGAGACCACTGCTATGCTGAAACCCCGAGCACGTGTTACACGAAGTGGTAATAGTGAGGACTGGGTCGACAACCAAGGCATCTTTACGTCAACTATTATGACATTATTAAAACTATCAATTGTTTTCATGGTTAACATTTATCGATTTATATCCAAAGGGGGATTGACCTTATAAGCAAACTTTGCAAGAAAGGGTTTTATTGTTCTTTCTTTCTTTCGCTCTCTTTTTAAGTAAGTATAAGAACCGTTATGGCTCTTGGTAAGCAAAGGAAGATAAAGAAACGTAATGCACGTTAAATGGTATTTGTTTCCATTTACAACTGAAGTAAATGGTACTGGCTGGTTATAATTGGTTCTCAGACTCGTACCCAGTTGCTATTTATGTGTGTTTGTCGGGTAAGGGAACTTTCAGGAAGGTTAAGGCGCGCTGGGTGTCATGGGAAAGGACGAAGGAAAAATATCCATGGAAGTAATCGAATTTCTGAAATGTTTTTGATAGAGATGATAGAAAAGGAGCCCTTTGATAACAGTTTTAGGCTTTCGAGGCCTTTTCGCAATAAATCAGACTAACCTGTGCTTAAACGCGAATCCACAGCGCAATTAACAGTCCTGAATTTTGCTTACCACTTGCCCAAACTCCAAAACCGCGACTGGCTACGATAAAAATTGACGATTCAACAGTTTACCCTGCTAGCACAGTCGCTTTGATCGCTCCAAGAGACGTCGCTTATCTCGGAAAGATCGAAACGACTCTGCTAGAAGGGTATCAACAGTTTTGAAGATAACATGATTTGAAGTCTCCACCATTATCACATTGCCCTTAATACACCTCGTTTACCCCCAGAAATTTTGCATAATCAATGATTTCAATTTATCTCGGGACGAATATAAAAACCCAAGGGATATTAGTTGAAAATTGAAGAAAGTGAAGAAAAAAAAAGAAAAAAAGGAAGATCTTTCAGTGAATTATAACAAACAAAATGGGCTGGTTTTGGACTGAGCTCAAGCTTTAATTCTTAGGTTCTGATTTGATTATTTGATTTCGGGATTACATTCGAGAAACGGGTCACTGGTCTTTCTGTTATTCACTGCACAGCTGACTTTTATAAAGTAAATCTTGGTTAAGGGTTAGGGGAGGGACATTCTACCCTTCGTCTCCCTCTTCCCTACCCCTTCCCCCACTCCCCTGAAGTGCCTGATGCTCAGTCTCAGTAACGCCTGCAAAACGCGTAAAATCCAAATAAGTGCCACAGCAACAAAGAGAGTAAGTTCCGTGGCATAATTTTGCATTTGTTGGAAACTGACGGTCTTTCATTTTGATGAATTTTTAACCATAGCGGTATTCACTTTACACTAAGTGTTCGTGACGTTCAAATGTAACTTGAGGAGGTGAGATGGAGGTGGGTCAACAGCCAGGAGGAAAGCTTTAACGTCAATTGTATGTAAAAGAATATTCATGTTTTCCTTGGCCAAATTTTAAAGGATCAAGTTTTACTGGCAGCTTTCCCACAATCTTCCGTCTTCGAGTGAAGCCCTGTTAAAGGAAACGATTGTGAAGCTGCAAAAATGAAATCTTTAAACTCCCCAAATTCTCACCGTCTCTTTGATTTCGCTCCGTCAATTAGGCCATCTTTCCTTTCTGTGGTGTTAGTTCTCGTTTGTGGGTGTCTCTGGGTGAAGAATGAAACAACAAACGAGCGACTGGTCGCACTGCAATCTCGCATTGATAACCTGCCCTGCTTGTTTAATAGGATAACACGTTCGTCTACAAAAGCTACGCCAAAAGATCTTTACAAGAAGATGCGGACACATTTTTCAGGAGAGATCGTCCATACCTCAGGTAAAATGCCAAGGCCTTATGTCTTGAATGAAGCAATTAAGTATTAAGTAAATGTTACTTATAGCTAGCTAAGTTGAATGATTGCATTGTTTGAGTGCTTACGTTTGTTCTTATTTTGGCAGAGGGCCACTCATATTTGCGAAAAGCACACTGTACGGGGGCACCCAACGAGAGTATAGTTCAAAACTACGTAAACATAGCATTGTTGAGCGTACTTTAGTATTTAAACGGTAGATAAAGGCTTATTTTTATCCCCTAAAAATTTTTCATCTGTTCGGATTTCCTAGCTGAAATTATGGTGATCAGAAAATGATAGGGATCAAAAATTACCTTTTCGAAAATTTCAGCCAGAAAAAAGGCTCCCGAAAATTCTAGGTGACCTTTTTAGGGTAAAAATCTGTTAAAAATGGGCAATTATACGATTTTTTTGAAGTTCGAAAATCCTAGGGGAGGCAGGCAAGCAAGAAATTTGTCGAAAATGATCCGAAAATTCTAGACCTCAAATCGTCTTCCGAACAGATAATTTTCCGAAAATTGTCGTTGGGTGCCCCTGACTGTACATGATATTGGTTTTCCTAGAATCTATTTGTTTAGAAATCGTGATTTACTAAAACATTGGTTTCTTTGCACCCCCTTTGCTTCTTTTTTTCTCAGTGAATAAATTTCCCTCTTCTTTTTCCCTTTCAAAAGCCAGCTATGCGCTTAAGGTCTAACAGGAAATTAGGTTTTCCTTTAACAGAAGCAAACCCTTTGGGCTAATTACAAGATAGGAAATAGTTTGAACTGGTAAAGACAAAAGGTCATTAAATACGTCATACTGACAATTGAAAGGAACTAACAGGATAAACTGTAGGATGAAGTTTCAAATCAAGATCAACAAATCCAAACATGCAAACAAGAACAGGATGCCCAATAAGAAAGGTAGCAATAAAGCACTAAAATCCACGAGGACATTCTGTAGAACAAAGAGGAGAAGAAGGGAAAGGATCGATAGTCACTCCGCTAAGAAACTCAGGTGCTCTCTCCTATATAAACAGCTCAAACAATAGAAGCGGTCATATAAAATGAAGATTCGAAAACACACACAAAAAAAACAAAAAAAGTAAAAAACGAACGAAACGGTCATTAACCACCCTATCTGTGCTGGCGTCCGTTAACTGGCCTAGTGTGGTAACGACGGAACCCCCTAATCACGAACAACCTTATTTTTCACAAATCAAACAGTTCTTATAGGTTTTATAACATTTTTCCTGCAGCCGTACCGTTGTCAAAAATGGTATTTACAACAACCATCCGACCAAGAAACCGAAGGCAAGTTTTAAACGACACTTCAAAGAGTATCACAGTACATGACTTAAGAAAAGAAATCACAGAACAGCTTGAGCAACTTATGCCCCTCAAGTACTGTAAGTCAAGTGAAAAAGTCTGTCCTGCAGGTCCCCCCGGACTCCCTGGTCCCACTGGGGCGAAAGGACCACGTGGCAGGAGGGGACAACAGGGAAAGAGAGGGCCTCAAGGTCCCATGGGACCACCCGGAAAATCCGGAAAAAGAGGAATGACGGGTCCTGCGGGACCGAGAGGAGAAAAAGGGGTCAAGGGAGAATCTGGGCCAAAAGGCATGCCGGGACCACCTGGAAGGCCTGGAAAATCAATATCTGCACCACAAGTAATGTTGTCACCGGCAGAACAGACAAGGGATGAAGGAGGAGATACGACTTTTTATTGCACGATAGGAGGAAATCCTCCCCCTGCGGTCGAATGGCGATTCAAAGGCAAAAAGCTTGTGTCAGGTGCAAAGTATTTGATTAAAGAAGGAGAGTTGATTGTTAAGAATCTGAACTACAGCAACGCTGGGCAGTACACGTGTTATGCCAGGAACATTCTTGGATCGTCTGAGGTCACTGGTAACTTGTCTGTCAGAGGTAAGAGGTGTATTCAACTTTGAAATTTGTTATATTTGTTGCTGCTTGATTTTAATCTTGGCGTTATTATTTATCTTAACTTGTGCTTTATATATCTCTCTTCCTTTTTGGTGATCGTCTCTGTCTCTTTACTGTGAAAACAAACGTCTCATACGCGGGGGCGCAAGAACCGTCCTCCCACCCTTCCTCGTCATCTTTTTTTTTTTTCTTCTTCTTTTCCTTCAGCGTTAGGTGGGCTTCCTATAGCATCATATATAAGACACCGCGTAAAGTTCCTTCATTCGTGACTTTCTTGCAGTTTGCTTTTTTTTTCTCTCCTTAAACTGCCGCCTTATTTGGTCCCTTTTTTATAATTTTGACTGTAGAAAGTAGCAATACGCCCGGGGGGTGGGGATACTTAGGTTAATTTTTACTATATTTGGGTTAATTATTAATAGGTATGTGCAGAACCCCTACCCTATTATGTTTATTCTGCGGCCATATTGTATACCCCATCTTAGTCACTTTTGGGCAAATATGTAATTTTCGCGATCCCAACTTAGTCACTTTCTATTTTTATGAATTGACCCATTTTTTTAGATTGAATGAAGAACACTTTACTTTTCATTTGCAGTGCAAACATTCTGGTACGTTTGCTAACCGTAAATATGAAGAACTGTCTTACCCCTAAAAATCCTAAAATGTGCGACCCCATTCTAGTAACTCTATTGAAAATGCGACCCCATGATAGTCAATCCAGTCGTGAAAATTTGACCCCATCCAGCGGAACGTCCCCATTATCGTCTCATAATAATGAAGTGCCCCCTCCCCTAGCCTGAGATCATGCCCCTCCGTATTATCCCTTATGTCTCTCACGGGAAGAGGGCATGATACATTTCTTTGTCGGATCACATGTGAAAAAGCCAGAATCTGGACTTTTTTCTGATTGGATTAAGGATGATTTGCGCTGTTCCGATTGGCCAAAATGCCGCCATCCGTTAGTTGTTGTTGATTTCAGTCTGCATTTTTGCTTGCGTAATGAGCAGTGAATACACACGCGAGTTCGTTATGAAATTTCTGCCGGCTCAGTTTTCTTGAATTTGAACAATGCCTAAATAGAAGTTTCATCCACTGAAATATTTTCCATCTCATCGTATACTAAATAGTTGCAGTCAAAACTTCACTGATCATTTGAATGCAATTTGATACCGGCTACAAGTTACAGAAGCGACAAACGGGTTCACTTTTCAAATAACCAATTCATGAATGGAATCTTGACCTGGTTTGACTGTAATTCGTCCTTCAGAAATCTGCGAATTATTCTGATCGATCTTCGCTTTCACCACACCTTTCAGTTCGTGAAATATGGTGCTTCAGCCTAATTTTTTTTTTCACTGCTTTCGGTACGGAACGAAGTCAACGAGCTTTAACCTGTAAATTCTTTATTACTTGTAGCTGTTAAATAAAGGTACGGCAGCTCCAGCTAGCAGTATTTCATCACAAAAACAACACATTTAATTTTTTTTAGGAATCGAAGCGCCATCTGAACACTGACGTACTTAAAAATTTTCTTTTCCCTAAAATTGATTTCAAAAGAGACATTATTCGCGCCAAAATTTGATTCCTGTATGGTAAACGCTTATTGGCTAATAACATGACTGGTCATACAGACGTTAGATTATGTAAATTAGGGGGCGGTTGACGGCTTGTTAAATGAATGTATCAGGCGTTATTTTTTTCCCTCTCGAGCCAAAGAAGCAAAGAAGAGCAAAAAAAAAATAAAAAATAACGCCTGATCTTAGGTTACCCCCCCCCCGGGCAACGCGCATTTAGTTGTACATAATTCCGCGGCAAATATGAAGTGTAAAATGTTAGTTATACAACATCAATGGAAGATGGTGATTGGAACAGATGACAAGTTGACAAATGATATGAGAAGAATTAATTGTTCCTGTTTCTTATAAGGTAATTTGCAGTACTTTCGATTCTCCCAATGATGACTTTCCAAGATGCCAGCGTAGTCCTAAGTTATTTGGATATGAGATTCGCCATTTTTTTTTCTATTTCAGGCCTCCCGGTATTCACTAAAGTTCCACAACCACACGCCGCACCAGTGCAACACACTACCTTTCAAGTATCTTGTCAAGCAGAAGGTTTTCCTCGCCCCACAGTAACCTGGAGTAGAGTTGGAATGCCTTTGCCAGCTGGAAGAGTTGTAGTAAACCAAGGTGCACTAACCATTAAAAACTTGACTCCTGCTGACAGCGGTTTGTACGACTGCGTAGCAACCAACATTATGGGAACAAAAAAGACGAGAACCAACGTAGCAGTGCAACGTCACCTAGGTCTGTATATATATAAATTAGAGGCATTATTTACACCCACATATATATCATCTAAGATATAAACATTCTTTACGCGACCTAGGTTACATGTAAGGTTCAGCCATCGTTTAAGCCCTGGAACGCGAACGAGGAAGGAACGAAATGAATCCGGCGTTTCGTCCCAGTCTACTGCAGTTGTCGCAAAATACAATTTGGGTGATCCAGATTGAAACCTTGAAAATGATTTAAATCAAATACAATTATTTCCGTGTTGCGCTTCATGCCTGCGTCGATCGGTTTTCTTTTTTACTAGCCGTCTGACGTCTTATTCTTAGGAGTTATACTTGATAAACACTTACCTTGGAAATCTCAAATACAGAACGTTGCAATTAATTGAAGTCTCAAAATCAGTAGTCATGAATGTTGCTGACCCCCGATGACTTGATCCCTCCCTAACTCGAACCAAATCGATTTCCCCTGGATTTCCTTCCTACATTTACTCTACTTACCCTCGGCAGGAGTAGCCTGCGTAGCAAGCGTTTCCAATCGAGTTACTGCGCGAACGTTAGAGCGGGAGCATAAAAAAAAAGGTGGAAGGGGGAGGGGGAGGGGAGAAGAGGAAACGCTTGCCCGCAAACCCCACGATTCTGGAAAACGCCCCTTGATATTTCACGGTTCGGTTGATTTGTAAATTGACAGCTCGTCAAAATAGAAGTATTACCCCTGGATTACCAGATTTGGAAAATTACTTTGATCTCCAATGGAACACGTTCCAGGCGATTGCAAAAACTGTAATAAAAAAGGTTTACGATAAAAGAACGTTAAAACTCTGAGCGATTGCTGCGGAATTTCTTGTTTTTTTTTGTGGCTTTATCTCGTCTGAAACCTTGTCGAAACGTCAAAAATGATTTGTCCGAAACAATTCACTCCGCCGGCTATAAGGTTTGCAGAGCTGCTGCTCTTCAGCCCGTGTCGAAACGTTCTCTAAAATACATGTCGCTAAATTTCCAATAAACAAAAATAATCTTTTCATTTCAAAAAGCTGATAAATCGCTTGTCCAAGGCGGCTCTAGCTGGTGTCGAGTACCGATGTTCTGATTTACGTTGATGTTATCTCCAACAAACAGTCCATTTTTTCCATTCAGATCTGCACGCCGTCATTCCCAATAAATTGGCCTTCCCTAGTCTCCACTGCTCAATCTGCAATTATACTTTGAAGACTGTGATCTTATAAACCTCCGCACAAACACGATTCAAATAAACATCAGTCCAAAGCATTTGTAATCTGCGACCACAAATCAGATGAAACCAGATCTGTGACACACGTAAACAAAGCATACCTGGTTTGGTTGATGTTTCGAGTGCTAAGTAATCAACACTAACAGCACCGCGCCAATCAGAAGCTGCGTTCGTGGGCGAACGCAGTTTTTCAAAATCGTGGGGTTTGCGGGCAAGCGGTTCCTTCATTCCCCTCCCCCTCCCCCGTCATTCCTTTTTTTTTTGTTCTCGTCCCAACTTTCTCGACGAACTCGCGACGAAACGCTTGCTACGCAGGCTGCGGCAGGAGCCGATTACTTCGTAATCGGCTCCTGCCCTCGGTAACACGGTATCGAACCTTCGATCGATAACTCGAACCTCTCGCTAACTAGACGAACATGTAGTTTTTTATCCTCGATAACTCGAACCATGTTTTGATTACTTAAAACGTCGGGAAAAAAAACAGTTTACTGGAGACTGAAACATTGGATTTTGAAGTCTCACTGACGTGTTGTAGACACATAGTTTACTAGTACTGGAGGCTGCTGTTGTTTGTCACAAACTAACGTGAAACAGCTTTACTTCTCAAAACAGTAAAACGCATGCTCTATTTAGGCTATGTTTTTGTTACATTACGTTCTGATTTATAATCTAAAGGTCTCTCTCAATTTTCGCTTAACATTTCTATTATAAAATGTGATTAAAATGCTCATTGTACGGAGAAAAACTTTTTCTTACCTTAACTGGCGGCTATTTTCTTCGAACCCTCGATAACTCGAACTTTTTTCGATTTCCCTTGAAGATCCGAATTATATCGGGAGTCGATTATATTTACAAATCAAGTTTCTACCTTCATAAGACTTCCTTTTTAAACCGCAACAACGATTTTTAGAGTAACACGGCGTTGCAACATTGTTGCGACGTTGTTTCAAATGGTTGCAACATTGCTCCAACATTGCAATGCTGTGTTTCGCAAAAAATCGTCGTAGCGAATCCTCGCGTGTAATATCAAGTCTCAAAGTTTGATTGCTCTTAAAAAAAAAAAAACCGGTAATTAGAATAATAATTGCCATGAATACTTTTAATTTGATGCACATACCAATCCTACTTTTGTGAGCCTATGAATTCTAGACTTTGAAGATATTATCAAACGTCAAATAGGTAAAGTGTATCTTTATAAAAGAGGCCTTCTTCCTGATAGTTTCAATGACATGCTTTTATTTAACTGTGACGTACATTCATATAACACTAGAAGTTAGAATTCCTTCCGTCTGCCCCACTGCAGGACAAATGTAAGGAAATTTTCACGTCGTATTCAAACGCCCAAAATATTCAATTTCCTTAGCTGTGAAATTCAGAATGCCCCTAGTACTGCTGTGTTTACTTCCAAACTTAACTTATTTTCTCTCGCTTTTATTTTTTTCGCATTTTGCATTATTTTTTCTCTCTTTTTCTTTCTTTCTTTTTTTTTTTTTTTTTGTGCACTTGCGCTTTTAGTCTTATCTATTTTTATCCCATTCAATGTTATAAACAAATTGTATATGTTTAGTTAAATTGCCTTTCCAATGCCAGTGACGTTTGTTTCTTATTTTAGGCATATATATTTTAAAGGTGGTCCTTTTTCATACAGGGACGGACCATTAGAAAAGTTATGGGGGAGGGGGGGGGGGGAATTTTCGAGCCGCAGGAATTTTTTTTCGTTATCAAATCAGCCTTGTATGAATTGTTTTTTTAGGCCATAGCATGAATATTTTTAGGCATAATTGGCATACATGAATTTCTTTAATTAATTGGCCATCTCATTTGAATTTTGTGTATATATTTAATTTAAATATATGACAAATTAATCAAGGTTGTCTGGTGTCAACCTGAGATTAGACTTGGCATGCCAAGTCTAATCTCACGTTGACACCAGACAACCTTGATTATAGTACCCTCTAGTCCTTCTATTGAGCACTCTGCCGATAGCCGTGCATATACATCAAGTGGATATATGACAAAATAAATGTATAAAAACATATTTTATTAGTGATAGGTTTAAAAGCCTCCGTTATTGTGGGAAACAACAGAAACCACTTGATCTCGTTAAGCAACTGGTTAGCACCTGTGGCTAAGGGCGTCTATTCTCTCTGGAAGCGCTGTTGGCGTGCATCTGTGGACGGTTGGGCTGCAAGTACATTTCACTCACGATGTAATGGCAAGGGACCGACTGTAACAATAATAAGGGTTGGAAAATATATTTTTGGAGGATACACCAGTATTTCATGGGGTAAGTTATTGTTGTTGAGATAACCACTGTTCCAGGCGTTCAGATAGTAGAGCGCAGTGTTCGGATGGTGGGGAGCGAGTTATGCAAAGGAAACGAGGACGAGCAAAACTATCCAGTCTTTGGATGCACAGATTGAAAGGATGTTTTTTCACTTTTCTTAGATCTTATTGTAGCCTCACTCCGCCCCTTATCCTCTCGCATCATCACCATTTCCTGAATTTAAAGACGATTCTAATCATTAGCAAGCTTCATTTGAAACTAACAAGTACTTATACGGTCATAAATATTATAATCTTTTAGCTGGGGATTCCAGAATGCATATACAGCATGCTAAATCATAGTCCAGTCAAACTGTGGTTTAGCAGCAAAGTAATTACAACAGATTTTTTTTTCAACGCCATTAAATTGTTGGATGACTATTTAACAACATACTAAAAATCCGCCAAAATCAGTTCGGTGAAAGATGTGAAAAATTGACAATAAAGCTTTTCAACTTTCACCACAGGATACCCAATTTCAGGAAGATCACAAATTCAAGTCTGATAATTGTGTTCTTTTTTCTCAAGAATTTTTGATGGAACATCGCTAATGTTTTTTTGGGTAATTTTTCTTTTAAAAACGCCGACAAAATGTGTGAGAAACACGTGGGTCAGTGTTTCGTCTTGAGGGGTTTGCACAGGCTTCCCAGCCACTCGCCTGTCTTCACATTCTGTTTTCCAAGCTTTAATTGTTTTTTCTATGACGGTATTTAAAATGGATTATTAGTGAGTCTGTGTTAACATGGTTAAAATATTAGCAATTGTTTTTTTTTTTGCTCAATATCAGAAATGCAGTAAGTATGAACAGTTTTACATCAGGCTTGTAAGTTTTTTTATATGCTGCAGCATGGATGCAAATTCAGAGTAGCTGACTGATGGTGAACAATTTGATTTGATGTTTTGTTCACCTTCAGTCAGCTACTTAATTTGAATCCATGCTGCAAGATACGTGCGACTAAATGTTTGCAACGGACGATAGCTTTGTATCAGTACAAACTGTTTATCCTATTCCCATTTTGCTCAAAAGTCTTGGACAATATGTGTGATCGAAATCAGGGATTCTTTTTATTTCTCGCGACATGAGCAACCTCCTTTATGATTACGACTCTGTACTTTACAATGTGTGTGGATAAGTATTCTGCTAAGGACTCCGTCTATTTGGTTTTTGCTTAATCGTAACGGTCTGCGCTTTTCATTACACATGGCCGAATCTGTAGTAAGGGAAATCCAGAAACCCAAGCGCAGTATGATGGTTCTTTTTTTTAATCTTCTTCTTGTAGCGAGTCTCAGATCTCAGTTTAGTTTAGTGTATCTCTGTCAGTTTGTATTTTCTGCGTCAGTCCTTCATTTCTTGGTAAGATGAATAAGTAGATTAATCGCTCTGTGGTCTAAAGGCGTTTGTATTTCCTCCTTGCATTTCTTTTCTGAGAACAACCATGAACCTTGACCAGTTTTTTCTAGCCCATTGGCAAATGAAGACCTGTCGTGAATGCTAACGCAGAAACTTCACGATTTCACAGTTTCAAGGGTTTATTCCAAATAGGAAAAGTTCACTGCCAAAGGTACACACGAAATCTAAGCCCAAGTAACTAAAAAAATTCAGATAACATGCTTAAAAACAAGGTATTGAAATTGATCCCTTAATGATATACATTCCGATCACTACCACGATAATGAATGATTTTCCAGTAATCGGATACCCATGTTTTGCGCACAGGATTCTGGGATCGCCAGGGGGCAAACATTGCGACTCGCTACAAAGAAATGTATGGCGTGGAGTTGTTTCTCCATTAAAAGTAGGGTCTTTGGACATAGAATGCCGCATTTTGCCGTGATTTTATGAGAAACGGGGGTGACTAATGTTGGTGCGTTGAAATTTCAAGTTTCTGTGTGATTAATGCGATAAATTCTATCGATAAACACCCCTTACGTGAGATTGAGTGTGAAATTTATGTTTACTGAATTTACACAGACATGAAGAATTCGAAGAAAAGGTCTCGAAATATATAGTGCAAATTTAGGTATACATGTAGGGGGGATGGCTCATTTAAGCGTTTAAGTTATAATTAGGTGTGGTGATATTTACGACGAGTGTAACTACGCTCGCGATCAGCGCTGTGCGGCGCTTTGCGGGTTATAACAAGACAACAATCGTTTTTATGCACGTGGCCATAAAAAGAAAAAATCCTCCTTTACTTTGGTGTAAACAAAGCGACATCTACAAAATATTTCATGGAAAGTACATGGTATTGAACCATTAGTAGATGAGGCAGAAATCGTACGAACGAGTAAGATTTCCGATACAAAGGCGGTGTGTTTGAAAATAAATACCAAGTTGATGTGCGAAATTCAGAGATTCTATATCTTCCCTTAAAATGATTGGAAAAGGCATTAGAACTCATCAGTGCTCTGGATCATGACAAAACAATTCGCCTGTGTTTTTTTGGCGAGAAGAAATCAATATACTAATGTGCGGAAGATGTTTTTGTTTTTAAATCTAATACATATCAAATTCGACAATACATAAGCTTACCTTTGATCGTTGTCACAAACCGGCACAGCATTGTGATCGCTGCCGAGCGGAGCGTAGTTACACTCGTTGTAAATATGAGCACATGTAAGTACAACTGGAAAGGCTTTCCCCGCTCATTTATACCTAAGTTAGTACTATATATTTCGAGACCATTCAGTAAATTCACAGTCGACCTTTCGCAAGAATCAGTGTTTACCAAAAGATTTCACCGCATTGATCCCACAAAAACTTACAATTTCTTCGCACCAACATTGGTCACCTCCGCTTCTCATAAAATCATGGCAAAATGTTACATTCTCTGTCTAAAGACACTGCTTCTAACGGAGAAACAGCTCCACGCCATATATTTCTTTGTAGCGACTTGCAATGTTTGCCCCCTGGCGATCCCATAATCCTGTGCGCATAACTAAGTGTCCGATTACTGGAAAATCATTCATTAAGTGTCCATCTTAATTGTCACGCAATGTTATAATCTCACACAGACCTCTTTTTCTTAACGATCATGGGATCCTATACGTCTGAAAATAATTGCAGTGGTCAATGAAGGCCCAAAAGTACTGGACATATGTACAACATTAATGGGCTTGCCTGACTTAGCTTCTTATGGCTCCCCTTTTTTGGCGCAACCTATGTTTCTCTTCAGATGTGCGTTGTATAACACTTCAACTTAGTGCATGTTAACGTTATGACTGAGTTGCGTAAATTATGCTCTGCGCGGGGAATTTCCATTACTCCATAGACTCTTACAGTATATTTTTACATACGCATTGTTTTGGCTACCCAGCGTTTGTCTTTCTCTTAAAAAGCAGATTCCCTATTATACTATTTCGTTTTCTTGAAGCAAACGTTTGCTGGAACCAAAGTTCTTATGCGATGAATGTTCCGTTAACCTTTATAATTTTTTTGCGAAGGTAGCAACACTTTTCCTTAAATGAAAACGCACTTCCCTTTTATCAAATTCATAGGCATTGGAGCTTAACCTGCTCAAAAACTCTGCATTGTTGTGCATATCGTAAAGGATTAGTTAAACTATTGCCCCCTCCTCTCCATTCACTTTTAACAAGAAGAAAACGAAAAGCTTCAAAAAAGTGAAACTGGTATATCGTAAAAGCCTGCAAAGCATTATCTTACTAGATTTTTGAGAACGTACCGAACAAACTAAAATCGTCGTTTTTATCCCCAAAAGCTAGGTAGCAGTTATTCTTTCTTCTTTCACTTTCCATAAAAGTAACAAACACATTTTGCGCATTTTTTGTTTGAACGTTTAATTTCAACTAACGTGGGTTCCATGTGCTAAAAGCTCAAAACGTTTAACGCTTAATTTTGTCATGTTCCACCGAACGAATTTTGGCGGATTTTTAGTATGTTGCTAGAAAGGCCACCCTTACTTAAAAGGCGTTGAAAACAATTCCGTTGCAATTAGTTTGATGTTGAGCCTCAAAAATGCCTAGACTGACTGGACTATCAGGCCAATTGTGATGAACGGATTATTTAAAAAAAAAGTTTTGGGAAACCTTTAGATACAATTTCTGTACCAAACGTTTGTACTTTTAAGGCCTGTTAAAGGGCGATAATTAGTTCTACTATAATGTGCCTCCTACATTCTAAATTTTCTTGCTAACATTATATAATTATGTACACGTAGTTTAAACAACCTCCTGCTAATTTATTGTACAAATAAAGTATTATCTATAGAATGGAGTAAAAAAATACGAATAAAATACAAACACTTTTAAGGCAATGGAGCCTGCTACATCAACTATTTGTACTTTGATAAGAAAACTGAATTAAAAAGTTCATGAGTCAGTTCAAACGAGAACTTCAAACCTGGTGGCAATTTAGTGTGTAAACTGCGTTTGAGTGAATTTACCATTTATTTTAATTGTACATCCGTCGGTTAATTTGTTCAGTTAAAATATGATGAATATAAATATTTTCTGGAATAAAGAGTGTTTTTTTGTAGATCAATTAATTGAACTTCTTTCCGACAGATTTTTGCTCAAACAACCGTCGTTTGATTAGTGTTTTTTGTTTGTTTGTTTGTTTGTTTTTTGCGCATTTTTTGTTTGTTTGTTGTGGTTTTTTTTAAATTTCGTTTTAAAATGTTTGTACTTGTCCTACAAATACAAATGGAAGATGTCAGACTCAAATTCGTTTCAAATTAGAAAGCTTGTTTCGAGGTTTGTCTTCAGAGTCAATGCACTTGACGGGTGGTTTAATTTCTAAAGTGAGTATCAGAACAAACGTCACTAATTACACTTGGTTCCATCTTTAATTTCTGTCTAATAGATTCCAGCAGTGGGTACCAGTACGACTCCAAAGCATTTTTGTTTTCACTGGTGAACAAACCAGGATGGGCACCTGTTAAACTGCCTCAGACAGGGAAATATAGTTCAAGCAGATATTCAATATACTGTGGCTCATCGTATGGACCTGTATTCGGAGGAGGAAATGACATTTGCATTTACAACTACGCGTCATCCAATAGCCCTTCTTACAGCAGCCTTGGCCATACTTACAGCCCACCGAGCGGGTACAGCTACCAAAGCACCTTCGCCCGAACATTCCTGGCAGGATCATACAACTTCACACCAGACGAAGTAGAAACTTTTTACGAAACAAACTAGAAATAATAATTAATAATGGGTCACATGCACTTTGATATTAGTATTCCATTAAACTTAAACATTAAGTTAATAGTCGCTAAAACGAATTCATGACATACTGTCCTGTATGTACTAAACGAGGAAAAAAGATGAAACACCCCATAAGGCACGTGTAGACACACATTTTTCGAACATTTTATTTTCTATTTGAATCTTTATTTATTTTGTGTTCACTATTTTACCATGTGCTTAGGACAAAGGTCTCTTGAGCAAACAAACATGACGTCGGGTTGTTGGGTAGAGCTATAGTCGCATTGAGGACCACTTCAAACGAAGGATGACAAAAATGTCAGAGCGAGATGCGGCAGAAGTGCCGATTCAACCTCAAGTCATAGAATTAAAGGAGTTGAAGTTTAAGTGTCTGCACATATTTTTCCTTCCTTTTAACCTGTTTATACTACTCCAAGAGAAATTTCTGCAATTTGATTGGCTTAGAGCAGTGGTATTACAGCTTAATTTGAAATAACTACATGTGAAAATTACAAACCTTTTGAGGGCAGTAGTATAAACAAATAATAGCATGATTTGTACGTGATATTTGGCATAAATACCACTTGTGATATTTCAAAATTGTCTCAAATTTCACTCGCCTAACGGCTCGTGAAATTACGTATAACAATTTCGAAATAGTACTCGTGGTATTTATGTCAAATATCAAATCACGCTATTACCCATACTAATCATTTTAAGTTTCAAATATTTAATCATTTTACCTTTCAAGTACTGGGGAATGTTTTCACTAAGGGGATCATACTTTTTCAGTCTATGATAAGAAGAGATAAAATTTGGGGGAAATATTCGAAAAAAAATTTAAAAGTATAAAACACAAAAAACACGTAAACTTAGTATCGTAATGATAGGAATAATAATAATAACAATGATAATAATAGGTTTTGGGTTGTGACAAAAGAGGAGTCAAAAGGAGCCGCCTCTTACTGAACAGGGGTTGAATGAAAACAACTAATTTGTTTTGAGGTTAGGCAAACAACTTGGACTTCTGTATGATCAATGTTTTCGATTTATCTTGTTTTAGGAATAGGGTGTTCACATACTAAGTTCAATCAGAGTAAAGGACCGGAAGGAGAAGTAGGCGCTGGTTCCCAGATTAAGGAACTAAAACAAACACTATTGTTCCAACCGTTTTGCCAGAAATTAACACAAGTTGAGTCTCTCAATCTTGCTTCCGGTTCTCAACTCGCTAATATGGATTCTATTCATTTCGGTGTTGGACATTTAACTTTATTCAGGGGTATATATCATATAACCAAATTTGTTTTTAGGTTGGTTCAGAAATCAAAAGTTCCACCAGATGTCAAATACTTTTTCTTACGGGACAAAGGATGGTGTTTACAAGCTCTCAGAACAGCTGGACACACTTTAGTTTTTACGAGCAAACCTTTGCTGGTCAGTTAAGTCCTTTGCTAAAAGATTTTTGCACAGACCTCTTTGGTGTTGGGATCAATCAAAAATGGAAGTTGAACGCACGGTAATTGCAGGAAACATCATAAGTGTAGTTTCAGTCTTTCACAACTAAAGGTTTAACTGAGGTTAAGAAACACCTCTTCAAGCTTACTCAAGAAACACGGAAACAAGTTCAAAAGATAGAAATAGGTAGATGTATTCAGCTGTGGGATAGGAAAACAAGCGTTTCCTGTTAACGAAGTTTGTTTACTTAAACCTGGAGTTGGTTCTCACTTTCGCTACCAAACTTGAATCATAATCAGACTTCCTATCTCATTTAAATCTAACCTAAGGCCACGCGCCTTAACACCTTTCGAGTTCTTTGTTCTCATCTGTTGAACCAGTTTTAGCCAAATTTCACTTACTTTTCTGATCTCAAACTACAATTTCTTTCGACACAATCTTAGGAAAATTTAGTTTTTTTTTCAAACTATCGTTTTGGTTCCCTGTAGAGGAATTTGTGTGTAGAGATATTTCTAGTTTTTCAAATTTCTTCCACGCGTAGTGGGAATCAACTCAATTTCAGTTCCTTTTGTTCTCTGAACTCTGACACTTGCTAACACCTTTTCCTTGCATAAGAATGCCATGTAAAACTGTAAAAAATCAATTAACTTAATAGTTCAATATAAATAGAACCTCTTGTAACTAGTTTCATAGTTAAGCCTTAAGATCTGAGATAGCTAAGAGGAGTTTGTAACCTCAACGGAAAGATTAAAACCATCGTCAACTTCCAAACTCTGGTTGTGTCAGCTCTCTTCAAGTAATCCTAAAGTCTGTAGAAGTCCCCCTCTACACACGTATATAGTTCAAGCGGCACCGGTAAAAAGTCTGATCTTGATCCGCGTTTTCCCTTTATAATTTAAAAACAAAATATAGATTTAGTGATATAATGACGTCTCTGACTAACTTTTGCCATAACTACCATGTAACACCTTCCTCAAATAAGCGCCGCACCCTCTCAACAACAGTGCAAAGCGCATTCATTGGTATTGTTAGACATTTTTAAAGCTGAAAATTATTATTGTTGTTATCATTCATTGATTTATTTCTTAAAAGGGGAAAAGATGTCAAAGTTACTGAGGCTAGCTTTTTTTAAAGTTTTTTTTGTTGTTTCTTAATTTCAATGTCATTTTAATCTCTTGTTTAACTACACAAGGAAAGGGAGGCTGCAAACGAATAAAGACAAGATGCATTTTATGTCTTTATTAATTTTTGTCTCCGAAGTCTACTAGAGAAGGTCACACGTTGATTTTCGCCTCTAGAGAAGCTAAGGAAACCTGAGGTTACTGGCCCCAATTTTACAAGCTGATAATAACAAACATCTTTTTGGAGTGTTTTATTTAAGAGGCAAAATAACAAATAGAGCTCAGGCTAGAGCTGAATCAAATGTCTTCGTGCCGGACCTCTCAAATCAATCAATCAGTCGATCAATCGAT